AACCCAGGAATTCTTCCACATGTACCTCTCCATGAATGAGGTGGTGCTTTGGCATAAACTCAGGTCTTGTTCAGTAACAAACTCATGCTTAGAGCTGTGCCGAGTTAAAAAACAAATCCCCCAAAAGTCTGGTTCTGCTGTTCACATACTGAGCCTAATGGATGTAAAGCAAGTTTAAGGCCTTTTTACCTTAATTTAGTCCATTATGCTAAAAAGTACAGGCACGTGAGTTGGAAACATCCTGGCAGTGGTAACCACAGCCCCTCCAATATGCTGTAACCTTCTCCTGTGTCTAAAAGCATTTTGTCTGTGTCTGTGGTACCACCTCAGTGGAATCAGCACACCAAACCCAGCTGTGTGTGGAGTTATCTCATGAACTTCAGCATGTTACAGGTCCTGAGAGTATCTCTCCCATAAAATCTCTCATTCCAGCTGAAACCAAACCTCAGAAATTAACATCTGAGTAAGTGGGCAATGTTTTTGATAACCCCTCTTTAGCAAAATTGTCTGCTCAAGAAGGACAGTCTTGTGTTAGGGTGTGCTCGCTGAGGAATGCGATGCTGGCCTTGGAGAATGTCCCTGGAATTACTCCTGGCCTCATTTCTTGTCAGTGGATCCATAGGTGTCTGCAGCCAAAGTCTGTGAGTCTGCTCAGGTTCCACGGCCCTGCTTGCTCTCCCAGTCAGGGATACATAAGGCTGTCCTAACCAGAGGGAAAGCCAGAGAACAGTGGTCTGAGTTCTTAAACCTGCACATAATGAGATTTAAAGGGTAGGGACTGAATGCTAGTCAGTTACTGTACTACCCGGGGACTATCCCAGGAAAGGCAGAGAACATCTAAAACACTAGGAAGACAGCAAGGAAGAAGAGAAAATGGAAATCCTCTGCTCTGTTTTCTTGAGGTTTCCTCCTCAGGCACTTCAGCTGGGCAAGCAGTACCACTGGGTTACTAACAGCAGTGAGAACACCTTGACAGCAGCAGAGCAGTGTATTAGAGTATTTTCTCGAGATGAAAAGCACAGCTTTTGGATTCAGGCTAAAAAAAAAGTATTCATCCTGCTAAGTAGATTGAAACAGAATCCAGATTAAAGAAATCATTAAATCATTCCAGAATGGTATCCACCTGCTCTAGCCTGTAATTTATTTTCAGATGAACAGTAGGTAAAAAAAAAAAAAAAAAAAAGCAATACAATGGCAAAAATTATTGTCCCCTAACAGATGCTTTGATCCTGAAATGACACCTGGCCACACAGCTGCTTGGGCAGTTTTTGAGATGATTTTGAATTACTTGCTCCAATCCATTGCTCCATAACCTTGATAGACCCATAATGCTAAAGTTTCTGCTTGTAGCCGCCTTTGAAGAAGGCTATCCAAGCGGGTTGCTGCTGTAAAGCCAGTAAAAATCATCATTTTAATGTGGGATGGGAAACCTGTGTGTAGGGGTCAGAACATTTGCTTGCAAGACACTAGAGGACCAGCCAGCTAGGGACATGGGGCCCTAGACATTTTCAGAGTCAGGCCACTCTTCTCATGTGCTGCTGCTGCGTGAATAACGTGAGGTGTCTGCTCTGCTGTGCTCGTGAAAGCAGGGTTGTGCTTCACAAAGCTGGGAAGCACCGATCTAGTTGGTTCCTTGTGTCGTCCAGGCCTTATCATGAGTCGGAGCGGTTCCCACACTCCCCAGGGGAACACCCGCGCGTTTTGTGCCACCCGGGGGACGGGGAAGGAGAGAAGTGCTGACAGCGGGTGACCGAGGACCAGGGGTGGAGGAGGACAGAACCGGTGACGGGATGGTGTAGCAAGAATTGAAAGATGGTTACTGCCCAGCGCTTCCACTCCTCCTCTCCGCCAAGCTGCTACTGAAGGCACCCGAAGCTCACCATTTCACGTGTCTCCGGCGTGTATTTAATCAGATTTAGCCAGCTCGGTGGTCAGTTTGCTGAGTGCATCAACGCTAAAGCAGGACCCCGCCGCAGCAGCTCATCCGGGGACGGAAGCGGGGCAGAAACCCCTCCGACAGGGTGGGGGAGGGGGGAATCCCTGTTATCTCTGCCTTGCTCTGCCGGGACCACTTCGTGAATCCGGCTGATAAACCGGGCTCCACGACGGTCGTTGCCGGCACCAGCCCGTCTCTACGCTGATCGGGGGCCGGGCGCCGGGGCTGCTGCCCCCGCGGGGAGCGGGGCCGGGCGGGGGTTCACCGCGGGGCCGCAGGAAGGGCCGGGGTGCCCTGGGAGCCGCGCCGTCTCGGCCGCACAAAGCCGCCTTTTCATCGCGGCCTCTTGCCCCCGCCGAGTCCGTAATTGTCTCTGAACAAAGTTCATTAGGGAGCGCGGCGGCGGCCCCGCGGCCGCGCTGCTTTTGAGCGGGCGCAGTGGGGTGTGTGGGGGCGGCCCCGCCGCTCCGGAGCGGGACACGGGCACGGCAGCTCCTGCTTAGAAACTTCTCACCACCGCCGCCCCGGCCCCCGCCGCTGCGGGGCTAATTGGGGGCGATGCGGGGAGGCTGGAAAGGGGTAACCCCGGCCCTTGATTATGGAATTGGCCGGAGAGGTGAATGCTGCTCTCCGGCAGTTTCTCAGCTCCGGGATATGCCGCCTTGCGCCTCTGGCTGTGCCTCGCCAGGGGCGGGCTGAGCGCCAGGGCTGCGGGGAGCTTGCTCTGGCCGTCGGCGCTTTCCCAGCCCCGCCGGGCACAACTCCCCGCGTCGTCCCGAGAGCGTGCGCGAGTTCCCCGCTAGACGGTGGCTCAGCGCCCGGGGGACATCCCGAGCTGAACCCACAGTGCTCATCGGCATTGGAAAGCCCAGCTCGCGGCAGAGCCCGGCCAGAGGACGGTCAAAGTATGTTTACCGTGGCGTTAAAGACGCTGAATTTGTCCTCCTCATACACAGGCGAGCCCGTTAGTTTAGTTTTGTGTCTGGGCGCTCACAGGGTCCGCTCCCGCTATTACTTCTCCATCAATCTCCTGTGTTTTAATCAACACAGTATTCGGAATATGATTCCTGGAGATTATATTTGGAGAGATTTGCTATACATATCTTGCCGGCGTGACAGATTGCAGGGGAGTCCTGGGCAGGCGGGATAATCTCCATCTCTCTCGCTTGACCTTTAATAAAAGGGGACTAAAAATTAAAGAAGTCTTAAGAATCCTGGAGGTCACCTCCGTGCCTGCTTTCAGAAGACCCCAAAGCCCGCACCCGGCTACTTACCCACTCCTGGGGTCGCCGCTGCCGGGCAGGACCGGCAGCGCGGGGAATTTCTGCGCCCCCCGGGCCCGAACGGTTTCATGTCCTGTGGGCACCGCAGGGTCCTCTGCCGCGCTGCCTCCCGGGGGAGCCTCTTCCAAAGTCCCTGGCCGGCGGGCCAGAGGGACCCGGTTCGCTCCCCCGCGGCCTGCGCAGAGGCAGCCGGGACATGGCGGGGAGCGGGTCACGGCCCTGTCGCTACGGACACGCGTGGGGAACCGGCGCCTTCTTCCCACGGCATAGGAGGGGCGGAGAGGTCGCCTTGCAGGAACCCTTCGAAAGGGCCGAATACTCTTTATTACAAGTCTTAATCCTTCAAATCCGACTTGAAATAATGTTTTCTTTTCTCAGCTTAATTTTCCTTACGCTAAGCTGCGGGTCACTGCAACAGACTGCGGCTCCTGCACCGCCGGTTGCCCAAGCGTGTTTTGGCCGAGGGAAAGCCCCGAGGCCGGCGGCTGTGGCGGCGCTGCCGGCCCTTATCCCGGCCGCACCTGTGCCGCTCGCTGCCCCTGTCCTGCTCCCGGCCGGACCTTGTCCTGCCCTGGCTCCTGCAAAACCGCCCAGTTCGCAGCCTTAGACGGGTTCGCCCAGCCCGTGGCTGCTCCGTTCCTCTCCACAGTCCCGGACGGCCTCAGCCACCTCTCCCAACATTGACCTGCTGCTTCTCCGGTCACAAACAGAGAGGACTCCCAGCCCCACTTGTCTTGGTAGCCTTTGGTAAACATACAGAAGTCTTCTCAATATTCAAGATTGATTTCCCTGATTTATTAAGGCAGAATTCATTGGACTCTATTGACCACAAGTGACTTAATGTAAATGTTGACCCCGGTGAACTCGGAAATAGCAGGTATCGGGTTGATATATAGATGACCTCTTAATTACCACAGTTATTAATCTAAATTATTGCCACTGCTTCTAGAGACAGGTACAAAGAAACATTATTTCCTCATCCCTGCTTAGTTTATTAGTCTGAACACAAAGTGTTTGATGACACTTTTAATTAAACAGAAATAATGCGGAGATACAGTTTCCCTTTCCCGTCTGTCCTGTAAAGTGCAGTACTGCTCTTTTGACTGACCGACAGCGCTGACCCACTAACAACGTCCTGCTCCGGTGCTGGGGCCGCTCCCGGCTAAAGCGCTCCCGGAGTCACAGGGAGGCTTCACGGCGGTCAGTTCACCCGTGTTTATTGAGAACTCTGAAAATACTTTCAGCGCTATTACAGCCACAGAAAAGAAACCGCTCGGCATGACCTGCACCGCTCCTCCCTCCACGGGACGGCGCGGAGCGGCCGCGGGCAGCTGCGCCCTGAGCTGGGAAAGAGGGATAAGGAGAAACAAACCACGACGTGGGGAACAAAGGGACATCAGTCTTTTTGTTGCTTTTGTTGTGGCAGAGGTGTTTCTGGGGGTGTTGAACCAACGGGGGCGGGGGGCCGGTCCCGCGGGGAACCGCTCCGCCCGCCGCCCCTCGCCCCCCGGTGAGCAGCGGGTCCTTGTCCCGACGATGGCAGAGCAACGGGCTTGTGGCCGGAGAGGTAGCCGCTGGGCCAGGGAGAGCTTGCTTTCGTTGTGTCAAGCCGAGAGTCTCGTTGAAGCACAGCCTCGTCACCACCGCTCAGGAAAGGGCAGGCGGCCCTGCGGGAGGGAGAAGCGGTTATGAGCCTTTCCCCGGCGGTCTCGCCGGCCCTCCCCGGGGAGTAGGGCAGAACGGTGCCCCCAGTGCTTTGCGGACGAGCTGGCGCTTGGTGCGGGGTCGGCTCAGCAGCCGGCCCGTCACCTACCTCACCACCGCAGCACCGGCCGGAACGCCGTCCGCAGCCTGTCCAGGCACGGCACGCCCAGCTCGGAGCTTCCCGGGCCGCCCTTGGCGCCCCGCCCGAAGCCTGCACAGACACAAGCGGCTCGCAGTGGGCCGGGCCCGGCCCAGCAGCCCTCCCCTGCCTACTCGCCTGCAGCGGCGAGGCCTTGGCGTCTGCACCGCTGGGGGACACGGACCCGCGCCTGCCTGACACCTGGGCCCGGCTTAACGCCGCCGCCACTCCGGGCCCGAGGCGATTATACGGAGGTTGTCAGCCGAAGGCGGGCTCACGCCGCGCCTTGTGTCCCGGCCCGGCCCGCCCGTCCCCGCGGCCCCGCCGCCGCGGGTACCTTCGCCCGCCGCCGCGTACTGGCATGACTCCCCCAGGCCGCGATGGGACGCGCAGCTCTGCGGGAGCGGCTGCAGGTTGAAAGCGGAGCTCCGGAAGGCCTTGGCGGGCAGGGGCTGCTCCCCCGCCGCGCCGCCGCCCTCGGGGCTGCCCCTGCGCGCAGCGCTGGCCCCGGCGGTGCGCGCCAGCGACCAGATGCGCGGCTTCTCCGCGGACACGTAGGGCAGTGGCGGGGCGGACAGGGCGGGGGGTGCGAAGTCCGCAGCGGGGGCCTTTGCGCAGGGCAAGGCGCGGAAGGAGCCGGGCAGGCTGCACTCGCTCCGCAGAGCCTCGGGAAGCGCCGCAGCGATGCTGGGGGCTGCCTGCAGGGAGCTGGCCCGGCCCTTCTCCGGCTTCCCCGCCTCCTCCTCTTCCTCCTCCTCCGCCTCCTCCAGGTCGCTGAACTGCAGCTCCTTGTCCTCTTTGCACTTCTTCTGCTCTGCTCGGACACATAGCGGGGAGGAGGGGCGCCAGGGCGTTAGTACGGGTGCGGGAAGCTGGGGGGCCTTGAGATCGGCCGCCACTTCGAGGTACCTCGAGGCGCCTGTCCGGCCTCTCCCGCCTACCTCTGCCTTCGCCCTCCGCGCTGTACTCCTCCTCTTCCCGCGGGGTTGGTTCTTTCTTCTCTTCCCCCGCTTTGTTCTTGGGAGACCAGGTCATTTTGTTTTCTTTCTTGAGCCTCCTTCTGGCGTTAGCAAACCAAGTGGACACTTGGGTCAGGGTCATTTTGGTGATGATGGCCAGCATGATTTTCTCTCCTTTGGTGGGGTAGGGGTTTTTTCGGTGCTCGTACAGCCAGGTCTTGAGGGTGCTCGTCGTCTCCCGCGTTGCGTTTTTGCGTCTGGCCGAGCCACTGAAATCCACTGTCCCATACCTGCAGGGAGAGGGTTAGGAAGGGGAAGCCGGCAGAGCGCGGCATGAACCCCTGGACCCGGCCGGGACCCGCAGGAGGCCGGTGTGGCCCTGCCCTCCCGCCAGAGCTCCAAGGTGTGATTTTAACTGACTGGTGGTCCCGGAGCGCCTCGAGTTTGTCAGGTCGGAGTTCCCTCCTCCCCCTCCGGTACCTTTTGATGTCGGTCTGTGCCTCGCAGGGGGATGCTAACGCTGTCGGGCGCTGATCAAAGGGGCTTTACCTGTCGTACTGGTACTGCCCGAAGGAATGATCGTAGGAGTAGTAGGCAGCGGACTGCGCGATTCCCGAGTGCAACGTGCCGGCGCCGTCCTTGATTTCATACTGGGGGTTCTGCAAGGGAAGCGGCAGCTTTCGGCGTCGAGCAGGAGAGGAGCCCTGGCCCCCTGCCGCCCGAGTCACCGCGGCAGCCAAGTCCCTTCAACCGCCCCCGACCCTCCATCAACTGCTGACCGCGAAGTTTGCCGCCTCTTGCTCTCATCCCCATTCCCATCCCCATCTGCGGCGGGCGGGCACTCACCAGCGCGGAGTAGAGCGCGGCGGGCTCGGTGCCGTAGGGCAGGTAGCTGCCGTAGCCCTGGCCGGCGGCGATCGGGGCACCGTACATGCCCAGCGCCGCACTGAGCTCGGCGCGGCCCGGCGGCAGCAGCCGGCTCTCGTACGAGGCGCAGCAGAGGGAGGCGGAGGCCGGCCCCTGGGAGGTATCCGGCGCAGAGCGGGGCGCAGCCTCGCAGCAGGTCATGGTGGGGTTGCCGGACACGAAGAACTGCGGGAAGCAGAGGAGAGAGCGGGACGGTGCCGAGTGACTGTCGAGGCAGCCCCATCGCGGGGACTCGAGGAGCGTGTGTGTCTGTGTGTGTGCGGAGGGGGTGACAAAGGGGGTAGGAAATCAGAGCTGGGGCAACTAATTATAGAAACCGGGAAATAAACGGAATGGGAAGCGGGAGCACTTGGGAAGGGAACACGATTAATCAAGCAGACAAAACTTGAAGAAAATAACTGCTCTCGAGAATGGCAAAAGATCCGTACGGCTCCTTCTCTCACTTCCCGCTCGGTCCGTTCGCATTGATTTAAAGCCAAGACGTTGCGATTACAGTTAACTTGACAATACACAAAGCAGTAAATGCCAGCTAACGCAATCGAAGACATTTGATTTCAGTAAGTTCAAGGGGACAGCTAACTTCCCAAGAGCGGGAGGCACATCTTGCAGTGATTACGGTGTATAAATAATTCTACCCAAATAAATGGTGACTCGAGGTACCTATAGCGACGATTTGGTTAACGCAGGCCTGGGTGGGGATGTGCAGGAGGTGTCCTTCCGAAATCGTACGGGGGAGAAAAAAAACTCCCAACAAAACTCAGGGAAAGGACCGGTCGGGGAGGAAGGGTAGAGGGGACGGCACAGAGCGGATCCGGCGGGCAGACCCCGCAAAGCGGCGGTCCTTCTGCCCGCGCACCTTCCGCGCCCGCGCGCAGCCGGGACTGATGTTATTTATTTGTTTGTTGCACTTAAAAGTGAACGGTGGAGGGAGGGGGAGGGGGAAGCACAGGTTTCCTAAACGCCTTTGCTGTACACACGGCGAGTTACTTGTTTAAGCCTAACACAACACAAACGAGACATAAACACACACGCACATTTTTTTTAAAAAGGCTCCAGATGTGCCCTTTAAAAAAAAAAAAAAACTCTAAGTAAGGGAAAGGGAAGAATAAAAGGGAGGGGGAACAAGACATCTGGACAGCAGCAGCGGAATCTAAACAAAAGTGAGTGCTGCTCACTCGCCTTACCTGTGAAGTGGTGCTGTAGGGGTATCCGAACTGGGAGAAGGACATAGTCGCTCCTTATTTTTGGACCATAGGCAATATTTCCCCCCCAAGATCGATTGTAACTAAACCCCTCTTCAAGATGCACCTTCTCACACACACATTTCCACGTATGGCTTTTTTTTTTTTCCCCTCAATTATAGATGATTGCACTTAAGAAGAGCTGCCAGACATCTGAGAGGGAGGGGGGTGCCTGGGTTAAAAAACTAGGCTACCCCCCCGCTCCCCATCGCTCGTAATAAATATGTTTGTATAGCGGGACTTTGAAAAGCCACTCCACATGTATAGAGAGTTTAAGCGCAAAGGGGCTTTTTCCAAGGGGAAGGGGGGGGGGGGGGGAAATCACGTAGGACTTGCAAGACACGGAGCTTGCTTGTTGTATTATTTTCTGCTCTATAGGTCTTTAGCGTTCCTCGGTGGGCGAGGAGCGGGGTGACGTCACGGCTCTGCCGGCAGAGCAGGCAGCGCTGGGCAGGAGCGGGCAGCACCCGCAACACTTGTTCCGTGGTGCTGGGGCGCTGCGCTGCGGGGCACGGGGCAGGCAGGGGCCGGGCGGCCTCTTCTCTTTTCGCTTTTTTAAACACAATCCACATTTGTTGTAGGGGAAATAAATTATATAGAAGGGGGGGAGGTCGCGTCGCCCCCTCCTCCCGCCGTGCCCCCTTCCGCTGCAGGCAGGGGTAGCGGAGGCCGCGGCCGTGCGGGGCACCCCCCGGCCTCAGTGCTCGGGCAGGCACTACCCCGGGTCACACCTACTGGGCCGGGCTCTGCGTTTATGGTGGCTACGGCTGGCCGTGCTCCTCTCCGGCTTCCCTGTAGCCCTTCCCGACCGCCCATGGCCGCAGGAGCGGGGTCGGACCTCGGCCCGCACGGCTTGCACTGGCTGCGCCGGCAGCGGCTATGGCCGGGAGAGGGCCGGGGACAGCCCGCAGCCTCCATCCCTAACGAGTGAGGAGCGAGGAGTCCATTCCTTACCTAGATCCGAACCGGTCCCACCGGGAGGGTGGGGGGGCGGGGCAGCGGAGGGTCAGTGTTGAGGTGATGGGTGGATGGATGCCTGCTTGCATCCCGGCCTGCCCGTTATTGCTACGGCGTAATTACATCAATTAACAAATGGAAACGCCCTTGTTTAACTAGCGACTTACATAGTGCAAATTTGCCTTTGAGGCGAGATCCCCGGGCAGTAAATGGGGCTTTCCTTTCCTCCCTCCTCCCCGGCTCGGGGGCTCCCGGGCCCGGCCGCGCACTGTGTCCCGCCAGCGCCAATTAAAAAAGAAAAGAAAGATAAAAAAACAACAAATTCCCCGTTCCGGCGGCTCTTGGCCCGGGCAGGCCGGGGCCAGCCCTACTGCGGGCAGCCCCGCGGCAGTGCCGGTGCCCTTCCCCGCCGGAGCGGCCCCTCTCCACCGCCGCCCCGTTCCCCGACGGGTGGCGCTGGCGAGCCGCGAGCGGTGCGCGGGGCCGCGGCGCGGCCGGTCCCGGCCCGAGGTGCTGCCCTCACGGGTGCTGTCGCGGGGCGGCCCTGCGGTGCGCGGCCCCTGGCGGAGCAGGGCACTGTCGGGGCTTCTCCCCGGCCGCTGCTCCTCAGCTGCGCCGTCGGGATGAGCAGGGCACCGAGGCGGCCGCGCTGTGCCCGCCCCGCCGGGGCGAGCGGCCTGGCCCGGCGTAAAGGGCGACAGCCTCTTCCGACGTCCCGTGAGTTGGCGAGAGAAGGGAGCGTTCGGGCGGCTTGAAACCGAGCCCTTTCAGCTTTCGTTAACGGGGGCAGTACCGTAAGAAATTCATTAAAGAACACCTTTGGGTAACATTACTGCTAATTATTTAATTGCAAGAATCCCTATGAGGGAAATTATGCTAATTATAAAGTAATAAAACCACTTGCTCTAAAGCACTTAATTCAGCAAAATTCAAGTATTTTCACCAGAGCACTTACTACATTATTTGCTGAATTAAGGGAGGAACAAGAGTAGCTGTGTGCCTTCTCCTACTGTGCTCAGAGCCCATGGGAGCAGTTGCTGTCACCCTATGTGTGTAGGCATGTTGCATGTGGGGCCCTCGCCCTCGCCCATGTGCCCAGCAGAGCAGCCACCAAAACTGCAAAAGCACTTCTGTAACAGACCTAATGCAGATCAGTGCAATCTTTGTTGTGTGCAATCAATTTGAAAGCAGATCTGTTACCTGTCAGGTACGTTGTACTTGAGTCTGGCTCTGAGAGGTGGCCTTTTGCCACCCAGCTCTCTCCACTCACACCTCTCTGCCCTACACATGTTTCTGTAGCATACTTTGTGCTATACATGCTGAAGAGACACGTGGGTGACCCTTTTAGTTGCTCTCACAACTTGGGATATTAACTGGCATTCACATTAATGAATACAAGTTCTGCCTTGCTCCCCAGCTCTTTGGGAGGATTCAAACTCTGGCTGTTTGTGCCATTGTGAGCCCTGCCACCATTCACCCTGTCAGTCTGTCACTGAATGACCGCACTCATCATGTCAGAGCTGCCAGAATATCTTTCTGTGATTTGTAAATATTGGCAAAACCTTCCATTACCAGGTTCTTGAACCTGGCTTGATGGAGGCAGCTCTGGGGAAGGAGTGTGCAATCCACATTCTTTTTTTCATCAGAGGGAAACAGCTTCAACAGCCAGATTTCCATTCTGCTCATCCACCGTGTAGTGGAAAAACATAACTGATGCTGTACATGGTCACTGCAGGTTTTGCTTTCCTTTATCTAAATCTGTGTCGTCTCTCCCCCTGCATACAAGTGTATCATCCGCCGCCCTCCCCCCCCCCCCCTCCCCGCCCCCGGCATGCAGTGCCTTCTCCCGGGCATTCTAGCAAGGACTCTCTGCTTATAAACATGAGCAAAAACGGAAAACCAGCTCTCTTGATTCATAAACTTCTGTTCTTGAAAGCGAGGAGTGTGAGGTTTAACTGTAAGCACTCCTGCGAGCAGTTCCTCTTCAAGCAAGGCAGGAGTTTAAATGCAGCCTGTAATGCGATTTTTGATCCTTTTAAAATCAACATCATTTGGTTTAGCTCCGATACTGCTTTGCTCGGGAGTTAATTGCAAGGGGTAAAAGTAACAGTATGTGCTTTCTGCTGCTGCAAATGTGGCTGCCAATAACTGTGGATGTGGTAACAGGTTAATTGAAATAAGCAGGGTAAGAAGAATGGCTTCAAAACTATGGAGCAGAAATGGGGCTGAGAAGAAAGTGCCTTTATATTTTAGAGTACGGGGGACATTTTGGCTGTTGCTTTTTTTGTACTGAGAAAATGAAAACTCTTCAGGTCCATGCATGAATAAACAAGTACAGCTGGGCAGCCTAATACATAATTTAAACTGATCAGTCACTACAGATTTAACTGAATAAAGCCAAAATGAACACTAATTGTTTTGACAAACTAAAATAGTGCATATGATGGCTTATTGTGGAGCTTGCTGGTTACTGTCCTTATCAGTGACTATTATCAAGACTTATTTTTGCATGAGAGGCAGAAAAAGACGAAACAAATTAGGACAATATTAAGATTAATATCTTCTTGAAGATAAAGCGTTTTATTTGCTTAACATACAAGCACAAAATAGAACTATCTTTGAGGCAGAGGGGAGAATTGGCCCAATGCAGCATGGGACATACCCAGATTTAGGGGGTGAGGTATAATTGCTGAGGTAACGTGATATCTTTTCAGCTGAAGGCCAAAGCGAACACAGATTTGATTTTTAGATCACTTTTGGAATACATCAGGAATAACTGTGATTGCCTTTGGACACTTGTCTTCTGAGAGGAACCTCCAAAAGAGAGGTCCGTGGATTTCTGGAGAGTTATGTATATAGGAGTTAATACACTTTTGCTATGGTTTTGGTATGTATAACGTTAAATACATGGGTGGGCCTTTCCATTGTTTCTCTAGACCTTCTTATTTAAATGGATGGTTAAGCAAGAGCCATTTCAAATTTTGTCAGGAAACACATGAGGGTAATATTACCATTTGTGGGGATCCCTAAGCCCCACTTCTGCATGGACTCCTTCACCTGACAGCTGCTTCTTCCTGACAGTCTGTGGTGGCCTAATCTTCATGACTCTTCTCAAGTGGAGGACTGGCAGCTCCGCTTGGTACCCATCATCACTGTTACAATGACCTATGGATTTGCTGAATCTCAGATCATCACTGTGTTGGCCGTGATTAAGTTTTGGGAGATGGCTGCAAAATGTTTGGTTTGAGTGTTCCTGGAGTTGGAGTATGGCTGGACCTGGGGCTTCAGTCTGGGCCTTTCTGTGCCTGGAGGTGGCCAAGTGGGTGGAAGCCACATGTGGACCTTCCCCATGCTCCTGGGTGGGGTTTTCCCTTGGATCTGGGGCCATCACTAAACCTGGCTTCTGAAACTGTACTTAGCTGATGAGGAGATACTTCTTTTGTAAGTGTTTGGCATCAGGGTAGTCCAGTACTTCTGTTCCAGCTTTTGTAGGTTTCTCTGTAGATTATTCTGTGAGGTGTGACTTCATCTGGTGAAGATAGGTTTACACAAAATGGGAGAGAGCTTCACCCCTGAGGAGTAGTTTGTGTTTTGCTGAAATATGGGGAATTTATAGCGGGAGGGCTGAGGCAGCAACACAGTTCTGTCCCAGGCTGAGCCCTCCCTGCATTCAGTTTCTAGTAAAACCAATAGAAATATTTTTAATGTTTTTTTCCTTCGTCTGTATTTATTTATTTATTTATTAACAAGGCCTTGCTGTTGTGCCACAGCTTGAGGATGATACTGGGCTCACCAGGTTCCGTTAACCACTAAGCAGTGCTATGCTTCCATGACCTTTATATCAGCAGATATGCAGTTGGTATGCAGGAATTATTTGGCTGCCAAACTGAAGTGTTTTAATTTAATATCACCTTAGGTATAGTTTGTCATTTCTGTTTTGTGGCAGTGAGTGACAGTTATGTTCCATTAACTAGTCTGTTGCTGTAATTTCGAGGTTCTATTTTTTAAATAGCCTGGTGCTTTCAAATAAGGCAATAGTGTCTTATTTTCCAAGAATTGTCACAACTTATGAGCTTTATTTAACATGGCTTCCTTATTTACTTACTTACTATCATTTGTAATTTAC